GACAGATACCATATGGTTTCACTCTTATGTGGATCCTGAGAAACTTAACAGGAACCCATGGGGGAGGGGAAGGAAAAAAAAAAAAAGAGGTTAGAGTGGGAGAGAGCCAAAGCATAAGAGACTGTTGAGAACTGAGAGCAAACTGAGGGTTGATGGGGGGTGGGAGGGAGGAGAGGGTGGGTGATGGGTATTGAGGAGGGCACCTTTTGGGATGAGCACTGGGTGTTGTATGGAAACCAATTTGACAATAAATTTCATATATAAATAAAAAAATTAAAAAAAGGTTTAATGATTTCTCTGTTCTTGATACTGCATTTAGTCTAAAAACAATTATAAGATGGAAAAAACCCTCAAAGATGATGAGAACAAGTGCATTTACAACTTCTATGAGTGTTATGATACTGGCATTTATTCCTCAAAAAAAATTACCTTTTATCAGTAAAATGTATGTTTAAATTCCTTTAAACCTGGAAGCTTTTAAAAAATATATTTATCATTTTTGCTATTCATTATTTTGGGGGGTTTTAAATTCAGACTTTTCATTAAATATGATGTAACAAGTAGCCATTATATTTAGCTATAAACTAATAATATAGTCAAGAAATCCAGCTGTCAAAAACAAAAGAGATTTCATCACAAGAGATTTATATGGAGTTCTCCATATTTATACAACCTTTTCCTTCTACTGATCGGTAATCAATATCTAAGATGTTATATTTGAGTACATTTCTAGGTGGAAAATTTAGTAATTCCAGAACACACACACATCTCTGTCATTTGGTAAATGAAGAAACTGAGGCCCAAGAGTTATGTCACAGGCTTAGACTCTATCTGGTTAAGAGCTCTCTTTTTTCGGCAAAGTATACAACTCTCTCTACTTCACCCTAAAACAAATGGTAGTGACTGGGGTTACGTTGCTATTCTGCTGAATACTATTTACCGTATCCAAATGACTGAGGGATAAAAATTTAAATGCAGGCATATACTTATTTACTCTAGAGGTTTCTCAACCTCAGCCCTATTGACATTTTGGGCCAAATAATTCTTTGTTGTGAGGGACAGTGTTGTATACCACACAACATTTAGAAGCATGTCTGGCCTCTACGCACTAGATGCAGTAGCACACTCACAATCGTGACAACCAAAAAAAATATCTCCAGACATTTCCAACCACTGGTCTAATGTTGGGAAGACAACCACTGAATCTGGCATTTAAAAAAATCAAACCTATTTCTCATTTCATTTTATTTCACTATAATCATTTTGGAAACCCTCAGAATTTCCTACATAATACTCTAGCCCTAAACAACATGAAATGAGACTCACTAGAATCATCTTGAAGTGTTACATCTTCAACTGTAGGCTGTACCAATTATAGGATGTTGAGTAAGCAATGTCATGGTAGCTAATAACAATAAACTTGGACAAACACGTCCAAAAAGGAAATTTGAAAACCAGTGATAAAACCTATGTTATTATTTTGATTCTCATGGATTCACAATTAAATTTTTAGACTTCCCATAAAACTTAGCTTCATGACTTTTGTGAATCTTTTAGAAATTTTTCTGATATTGTTTAATATTATAAAATATGAAACTCTCTCCATGTTCCACTTTTCTTCTTAAGTATGAGCCCTTATTCTATTTACTGAAAATATTCTTCATGATTCATTCTACATTGTTTAGATCCTTGGAGCATAAGGCTCTGTAATTCTATTCCTTTTTCCTTCCTCCTACCTCACCCTTTCCAGTTCTTTTATTTTCCTCATAACATGAAATACTTCAAAAAGTAATCAGGGCACTACTGAGTTTTGGGGGTTTAAATGATTATTGCTAATGCTATACAATGTTCTTTGCTTTTCATCCTGACCTTCAACAAATTTTCTGATGTTCTGAGCAAGATTCCGGACACTGCTGGGAAGATTCCAAGGGTCTTGCTTGATGTGAAGCCTTAACCTTTTTGGACAACTCAGCTTTGGTTCCATTTCCTGCTGAAATTCTAAATAAACACAGAAAAGCTCTTATAAGTTTCAACCATTTACCAAACAGTTAATAAACCAGTAAACTTCAGAATTCTCTTTCATTCCTGCCATCCTGGATTATTAGCATGGTGGTAATTTCTCTAGTTACATTACAGGAGAAAATTGGTGAAACCTAAAAAAAAAAGTCAAACCTTATAATTATTTTCTTACAAATGTTTAAACCAAGGGAACAGTTTAGATTAAAAATTCTGGTTTCAATGTCCAAAATAGAGGTCAGAAAGTGGTGTCTCTAGATCTTGGTCTGTTTGGCTGTTCTGTTTGCCAACACACATTCCAGAAACCCCTTCCCCCACCAATGGGCTATAACCAAGTAGGCACTTATGCTGGTTTCAGCAAAAGCAGTGCAACGTCTCTTCAATTAACTCATTTCTATTCATTCTAGTCCCTATAAGAAGTGAACATTTTAAACTTTCAACGAAACTAAAAGGTCCTGTACTGACATTTATATATATATTCAAAAATAACCAAACTGAATTAATATTAAGGAGATTTTGAAGCATGAGCAGCCATTTTCTTCTTAAACTATGCTTTTGCTTCATGACTATATTATTTCCCACTTTTGTTTCCCAATTGCTTCTAATAATGATTTTTTTAAACCTTACCTTGTAGTCCTTGCCCTGGTGTGAGGTACTTGGTTTGCTCAAAGGCCCTTACAACAGCTTGCCCTTTTAGGAGATTGGTAATCGAATCCACCTATCGTAACAGCAGAGATTTCTGAAAGTTACATATTTCTCATAATATATAGTATACATTTCCAAGAGTAACTCTTGTAAAACAGCTTTTTCTTAGAGCCACAATTATTTTTGAAATCTCAGGATGCTTGCAAAAATCCACCTTTGAATAAAATATTGGAATAAACTCACAGATAATACTTGCAATATTTCCTACCACACCATATATTAATATAAAGTATAAATATATTTTATATGTTTACTTTACAAAGAGAGATTTCTAGAGTTATTAAAAAAAAAACCCTAAAAGTCATCATAATCCTTCTCAAAGCAGTAAAAGCTTCTACATTATCGATTTTGGTTATGGAGATATATATATATATATATATATATATATATATATATATATATATATATAATTGCAAAACACCCGGGGCACCTGGGTGGCTCAGTTGGTTAAGCATCTGACTCTTGATTTTGGCTCAGGTCATGATCTCACAGTTCATGAGACTGAACCCCATGTTGGGCCTAGTGCTGACAGCATGGAGCCTGCTTGGGATTGATTCTCTCTCACTCTGCCCCTCCCTTGCTTTCTCTCTCTCCTTCTCTCTCAAATAAATAACCATTTAAACAAATTTTAAAAATGCAAAACACCAACACAAGCACTACAACAACCTTGTGCTCCTTAAAATTAGGAATAAAGTTAAGCAAGAAATGTCATGAAGAATTCTGAAAATAAATAAAAAATACTAAAAGAATAATGCCTGTGTTTATAACTATAATGTTTCCAAGAACCATAAAATACTTGATAGTCACAACAATCCTTTAGGTTGGTTGGCTGAAGAATCTTTATTCCCATTTTAAATTGTGGAAATTGAGGTACAGGGGGCAGAGGAACAGATTGAGGCCTTTCCATTTTTATTCCAAGTTCTTTTTACTCTGTCTACAGAAGGGACTCCTGACAGTTTGGCCTGTGGAAAAAAAGAAAAAATCATACCTGGCTGAAAAGATGCTCGAGACAACTATGTATCTTGTCCTGTTTATCGTGAGAAATGCGAACACTGAGGGGAAGCTCATCACCTGGATAGAAAGATAAATCTTATGTTTAACATGCTAAAATATTTTAATATAAATAAAATAAGAAAATAATCTTTCGACATGAGCTCTTATTCCATCAAGTTCTTATATTCAGATAAGAGTCCCAAAAGACTCAATAGCAGTTAGAGTATCAGATGAATGCTCTTTGAAATGCAGGTGGAAACAGAGTGCCTCACAGGAACCAACACTGTATATCCCATGTCAACGATTCTTTCAAACGGTGCAGTTATCTAACGGTTACATAGTTGAAATAAACTGCCTATTTAAAAATTAAGATGTGTCCTAACTGGGCGCCAGGTCTTTGTTCTCACCACACTCCAACTAAGCTATTTGCAGGATATTTCTAACTCTCAGTGTTTTCCTCGCCATTCGTCTCCCCGCCACCCACCTCCAAGGCCAGTTCAGGAGCATCTACTGTCTCAGAAGTCCTCGGTTTCAAAGCCCGTCCCACCTCCTCCCACAATCAACGCCTAACATTTTAGCTCAACCCGTTGCCAGGGACCCTCGCATCCTTCACAGTGCCACTTAACTTCTTAAGATACACATTCAGGTCAGAATGCATTTGTTTCTCTCATCTCTTTTTAATTCACTCTGTTTACCATGGGCCCGCGACGCTAACTTTATCGAACACGTGCGACTGAAGTGCAGTACGAGCGACAGCCAAGAATGCCTGACAGACGGTGAAAACGCAAGCCTATCCAAGGCCTCCAGCCCTTAAAAGTACCCCCCGGAGGCCGAGCGTGGCCAAGTGCGGCCGGACGCACCTGAGTCCATCTCGTCGCTGTGGAGGTACGAGCTGCACTGGCTGCTGCAAATGCTGGTGAAGGACGCGATAGAGTTCCTGTTGCTGTTGCAGTCGCTGGAAAGAAGGAGGCACATGTCACTTTCGGGGCACATCTGCCAGCTCTTACTAGAGAAACGCATCCCGTCACAGTTCTACTTACTGACAGGTCTAACAGAAAATTATGAGAAAGAGAAATTTTGTTCTACTTACTGATAGGTCTAACAGAAAATTATGAGAAAGAGAAATTTTGTTCAACTCACGTTTTATCTTACGTTGAAAAAAAAAAATCTCCAATGCAGTCATACTTCAAGATGTCTTATGCCGCATAAGCTACTCCTGAATGAACTTTTTTAAATGGGAAGTTAGAAAACGAGGAGTCCAGCTGCACCTCAAACTCTTCATAATCTATTTGATGCTATGTGTCTGTAGTTAATTTGCTGATAGAGACAATGTCCTGTTTCCTGATCTCTGCCTTTCCACTCTTTCTGGGAGCTTTAAATTCTAACTCATCAATTGCACCCTGAGCTAACCCCAGAGAGGACACACACCTTGTCCCCACCTCAGAGCTCAGCACAGGCTGCCACACCCGGAAAGTGCTCGGTAATCACTGTCCCAGGAAAGAGTGATTAAAAGGTTGGTGTGTGAATATGGACACGTTACAGATTTCAGGAAAGAGTCCACGAGGCAAAATATATTTTTCCTCTCAGAACTGGTAAAAAGGACTTATTTAACTTTAAATTTACATTCAAAATTTCTATTTTAGCCTAGAGGGAGACTTTGAGGGTAATTCCAATTATCTGATAACTAGAAATTGAGGTAAGAAAGTATTTTCAGATCTGTAATTTCCCACTGGAGAACCACCACAGGTTCCTATTAAACAGCCTACTGGTATCCTTTGAAGCGAAAAGTGAATGAAATGGTAAAAGTGGTTAATCTGGGTTCTATATTATTAAATCCCTAGGAATAATTAACTCTTACATATTCATTAAAATCCTTTTCATGTAGAAATTGGGACAGTACACTGGCTGAGAGAGAAACTGTGAGCCAGACCACCTGGTTTCCCAGGCAAATTATATAACTCATCTGGACTCAGCTTCCTTACACTTAAAATGGAGTTAATATGGGAATGTGCCACATCAGGCCGTGGTGGGAATTATGTGAAACCATCTTGTTTCCCCATGTGTCTGGTGAAAATGTTTTTAATGTTAGCTGTTAGTTTGTGCTAAACATCTCTGAGGAGAATAGCTTTAGTAATACTTACTTAGTATCTTTTCATTGTAAACCACTGCATAATACATAACAGCAAATAAGAGTTTTTGTCTTCGGTTAAGGCAAGTAAGGTAGGGGATGCTGAAGCGGCACATGTGGCACATGTGGTGGGTTAGGACAGCTGTCAGTGAGGTGTCAAGTGACACAAAGATTGAAAGAATAAGCAACTCCAGTTAAGGAAGTTCACTGTAGGAGCCATGTTGGAGTCTGGTAGGAAGACAGACTTTGGAAGGTTGGTTGTGTCTCTCCCTAAAATTCACAGCTGGAAGTCTAACACTCCATACCCAGGAATATGATCTTATTTGGAGGAGGGTTTTCACAGACATAATTAAGTTAAAATGAGGTCATTAAGTTGGGCCCTAATCCAGTATGACTGGTGTCCTTAGAAGAAGGGGAAATGTGGACACACACAAAGACATAGGGAAAAGACGGCCATCTACAGCCAAGGAATGAGGCCTGGACCTTATCCTTCCTCCACAGACCTCCATAGACCCCCATAGAAGGGAAGGCCCCGCTGACACCTTGATCACAGACTTCCGGCCCCAGAACTGTCAAATAATAAATAAATAAACCTCTTCTGTTTAAGCCATCCAGGCCTTGGTACTTTGGTACAGCAGTCCTACCTACCAAGATTATGCAGAAAGCGTGCAAGGAAGGAAAAAATACACAAAGCTGGTCATGGAGGTGAGCAGGTGAAATTAGTCCAATTAGCTTGGAATGTAGAATATAACAGGCAAGGGGAGAAATACAACAAGAAGAACTCCTTTTCACTATCCAATAATCCAATAATCAGAAACAGATATTTGGAAAAAAAAGTTAACATAGGCTCAATTGGCTTATTTGTTATACATATTACATACTCTGTAACAAAACGAGTCCCCCAAGTTAGGTCCACAGAGCTGGAGAAAAAAAAATGCTTTTTCCAAATTACTAAGATTATGAAAAACGAATAATTGAAAGATTACGTGGAATCCCTATGCTTCTCTGGGGTGGGTAACAGCCAGCAGTTATTTTGTGAGGGTAATAAATAAAAACGACAAAAAGTTTTTTCAAGATCTTTGTGGAAAATACGGAATCATATTTGACCGTGTTGATGAGATGAGTTCAAGGAATTAATGAATTACCTGTAAGAGTCTCTGTTGCTGATGGTGTCATGACCTGAATCTTCCTGCTCATCTCCCGCCATATTAAAACAGACTCGTTTGCTATTTCTTTCTCCCTTCTCGTTGTCACTGTCTGTTGGTCCTGTGCACTCTGATGTCTTACGTTCTAATTTAGGAGAATATGTTATGGAAGACAGAAGGCTGCAATGTGATATTAAAAAAAAATAAGTGCATGTTTTCAAACAGGCTGCTACGGATAACCTCCTTACTTGTTGAATATGATAGGCTTATAAATACTTCTAAGCTGTTTGTTTCACATAAAATAAGTATTTGATTGCATAAAAAAAATGATCACATGGGGTGCCTGGGTGGCTCAGTCGGTTAAGTGTCTGATTCTTGATTTCAGCTCAGGTCATGATCTCAGTTTGTGAGACTGAGCCCCACATGGGGCCCATACTGACAGCATGAAGGCTGCTTAGGATTCGCTCTCCCAACTTCCCTGCCCTTCCCTGTGCATGTGTGCAAGTGCACGTTCCGTCTCTCTCTCTCTTTCTCTCTCTCTCTCTCTCTCTCAAATAGATATATATTTTTTTAAAGTCCATACGAAGTTCACTTTTTCTTCTCAGAATAATGGAAATAGCACACAATTTAGACTAGAAAACTGTGTTCAAATCCCAGTTCTGCCACTCATTAGTTTTGTTACCACAGAAAAACTAGGATAGTTCTGACATCCACAATATGGGGAAAATAAGAACTCGCCCAAATGAAATGAGAATATGTTCCTGTACATAATGCGTGTCACCTCTCTCCCCTAGCCATTATCACCACTATCACTGCCACCTGAAAATGCCTGGAAAACTTTACAGTGCTACCCAAATATTAAAATAAACACTAAATGTGCTTAAATATCCTCACCGGCTTTCCCTCAGCTATGAAAAACCCATCTATCCATCTACCCCTGCCTTGGGCTTCTCCCAGGCTTTCTCTCTTTCGACAGAGAGAATATCGTGTGGTCAATCCTTTCTCACTGCTTATACAAGTGATAGTGTCATAAGACATTAAACAGAGTCACACACAATATAAGGATAGGAGGCAGCAGGGGCTACCCCATATCATCCACACTCTAGTCATGATGATGCATCACGAATCTACCCAAATGAAAAGTTCTCCCACTTGGCTCAAGACTAACAACACAACCTTGAGCCAAGTGGGAGATGCCAGATTCTGAACTGGCATCATACTTGATGTACACTTTGAGTAGCACGGATTCCATCACTCCAGACTTGAATGTTTGCCTGTAAAAAGTTTCTGTTAGTACTCACTCAAAATTATGAAAACATGGAATCAATCTGTTATCAAACAAAATGCTGTAAAACTTGCAAAACGAAGTGAACCATATCTTATGAAAGGGCTCCTGCATGGCTTCTGCAGCCAACAATCATCTTCTCGCCAAGTAGTGATGGCATTCTGTTCTAATCAACAGCACAAATGTACAGATCTTCACGCTCATCTTTCCATAGCAAGGTCATGGCTGTTTTCTTTCAAGACTATGAGAATGTCTTATACTTTCCATGGATAACCCACAGTGCCATGCACTGAGTAAATATTTAAGAGAATTCGCTAATTACTTAATTAGACGTTATCTATTGTACCATGCATTGTTATTGATGCTGTCCATACAGCAGTTTACAAAACAAAGCCCCTGTCCTCCTGGAGCTTGGGTTCTACTGGGAAGAAACCAACTATAAACAAGTAAACTATATAGTGTATCGCATGGTGACAAATGTCAAGAAGGAAAATAAAGATGGGGAAGAAGCTGGAGCTGCAACTTTAAATAGTGTAGTCAGGGAAGGTCTCACTGGGATATGACATTTGAATAATATTTTGGCATTTTATAGGTTTTAGATACCAGTGAAAATCAGGGGGCTGGGTTACATTGCTCAATGTAGGCACTGTGAAGCTATAAATTATTTTAAACAGAGTTTTCTTATTTGCAAAGATACTTTTATGTCTTGGAAGACAGATGTGTATTTATTCACTCCTTCTACCCAAAAGCTTAAAACATTAGATTAACTCCAATTACCCAAAGCCTATACTGCACAGACAGATGAACTCTGAATACTAAAGAGGAAGGAGATGCAGGAGTTCTCATTTTGCAAGGAGTACTCTGTGCTTTATGTAGCTTTTAAATTAAAAGTCATGGGGCAGAGCATACTCATTTTTTTTCAAAGTCATATGAATTATATCCACATATTTGCTCTTCATTTTAAACAGCTGCAATGATGCCTGCACTGACCCTGTGGGAACAAATGTGAGGCTAACAAACAAATGACAGAAAACCTGTGTTTCTGACACCACGTCTTTGCATAAAATTTCTAGATCCTTAAACTAATAACGCATAAAGCTTTAATATTTGTGCATATGGAAATAGTTTGCTTTTGCTCATATACAATATTAAGCTACCTAGTACAGGTCCATTAATTCTAAGTTAAAGTCTCAAGCAGGCCAATCTCCTTCTCACACCCTTGATGAATAAAGATTTTTGTATATACTATCTGGCATCAACCTGTGTGTTTTTCTGTTAAACCGAGACTTAAATATCATCATCTTTATCATTTTCATCAGACCTAACATTCGTTGAGCTCTTATGCCAGTCACCATGCTAAGTACTTAATAGGTATTAAATTCATTCAATCCTAAAACTCCTTTATGAAGTAGGTATTACTATGATGATGATGATGATCCTCATTTTAGAGACGGGGTGAGTAAGACACACTCTTATATACATATACTGTGCAAATTAAGAAGCACATCCCCTCCCTGCATATCATTTATACATGCTGGAGGGAGGAAGGGGGTCATGTGTCCTCCTGGACACATGACTGGGTGGCCTCCCCTACCCTATGATGGTAAGAACGACCACGTAACTTGTTTCCACCAGTATGGTGTTAAGTGGAGGTGCCAGGAGTCCCTTTTAGGTGCCGGTCTTTAAGCCAGTGTGCAGCCTACCTCATTCCCTCTGGCTGGTGTGACAGAGTCACTCCTACTGATGGGGGCTCTGTCAGTCTGAACTCTGAGTGAGGTCAACGTGGAGTGGAAACCCTGTGACCCAGATGAGCATGGAGAGAAAGCCTCTTGCTTTAAGTCCGTGGGGCTTTAGAGTTTTGTTAGCATTAGAAAAAAAACAGTTGTGTAGAAAGGCAGGTATCTGGAAGAATGACATATGTGACTGGGATACAGGAGTATCTACTTTATACTGGGGAAGCTGATCTCCATAGATCGGCCTTTAGCCTGACACTTGAGTGCCTAGAAGGCTAGCTGCAGACCTCAGGAGCAGTGCTAACCAGGCAGGGGTTTGTCATGTTCCAGGATCAGAAAAAGGCTAGAGCAGCTGGAACTCGGGGAAATGGGTTTGGACAGGCTGACAGGGGCAGGCTGTGGAGGGCTACACAGGCCACAGTGATGTAGTTGATATTATGTTAATGGCATTGCAATGCGATTAAACGGTTTTAAGCAAGGAACTGGCATGATTTACGTTTATAGATCCTTCTGGCATCTGCTGAACGTAGAATGCATGAGAGGGACATAGCTGGAAACTCCCACAGTGGACACTAGTGAGGAGACAATGGTGACCCAGTCTAAGGTGATGGAGCGGATACATTCTGAGGTATAACTGACTGAACTTGACAAGGTACTGCAGGCGAAGCGGGAGGAAAGAGAAGAATCAAAGGTAATACCCAGATTCTGGCTTGCAGAACTGCAGACGTGGGGAATACCTGACTGAGAAGAGGGAAGACTCTCATGTGGAAGGAGTCAATGTAGGTTTAGTACCAGGAAATCTCGAATTCAGTTTTGGAAACATACTGAAGTTAGAGATTTAATGTGATATGTCCCTGAGTTTCATAACCCACATTACAGAGGGACTGCGGGAATAAAATCAAACAGTGTGTATACTAATACAACTGTGCCTGGCACCTAAGCCCCTACAATACACGTTAGAGTTCATGAAGCTATGCCCTCTTTTCATACATTTAAGAGCAAAATGCTTGGGAAAACCTCAAAGATAATTCCACTGTCGGCCCTACCATGCCTACCTGCAAGCCCAGCTCATTAAGGGTCCCACAATGCCATTTGTTGATCATTCAGTCTGGGGCATTTGCACCTGTAAAATGCAGTCTGTTCTCAGCTTTCCTATCTTCACTAGCCCTCAGTGCTCTTTATTCGTTCCTTCCCTGACAGAATACACAAACCCTGCATCTTAAAGTCCCGACGATGGTTTGGATTATCCGCAGATTATCCTTTACTTAGGTCTCATACCTACGTGTCGTTAGTCAGAAAATAGCCCATGCAATGGCCAAAGTATTTAGTTTCAATGAGACAAGAATCACAGAATTTTGAATAAGTTCATAACGTCACCTTATTTCATGTTTATAGACAACAAATATGTCTCTAGTTCCATCTCTGGATCTGACTGAAGTAGGAACATTTAGTGGGATGTCTATGCGTTGAAGAAAATTTTATTTCTAGAAGGGTTCCCAAGTGGCAGGGGAAGCAGACAAGCTCAGTACCAGGCCCTTTCACAGGAATGAATGATTTCCAGAAAGGCCAGCAATGAGGTGTTATGAGGCAATTCCTCTTAAAACTTGGCAAAGTATCAGAGATCTGCTTCTCCACTCTGCAGAGGCATCTCTGTCTGACCAAGAATAATTACTACATGGTGAGAAAATTGTTGGGTAACTAGCTTTTCAAATAATTTGTCAAGCTCGACTGCACTGCAGTATCTCTGAATGGGGCAACAGGGACTCCAGGCAGTTTGGACAACTGCACTGTTTTAAAATGATTATGCTGCACATTGAATTACATGGAACATATTTATATTTAGAATTAAATTATATGGTGCACACAGAGAAGACCAGGGAAGTTTCTCAAATCACTTACTCATTTCATGTCATTTTCCTAATAAACACGCACAGTAAGGTAAAGGGTTTTAGAGTGGGAAAATCTTAAGAAAAACAGTAAAAATAGGTAATTATTTTCAGTAGTTTTGGCTAATAAAAATAGCCTAACTTCTTTCTTCAATGAGTGCTTTAAATATAAAGCATTTTAAGCCAGGTAAAGGGAACCCTTTGGCTCTAACCACTTTCTTAAAAATGTATCTACATTAGCTAAAGTTAAAAAAAAAAAAGTCAGTAAATTAACAAAGACAGATGAAGTCTGGACAACTGCCAGGAAGTGCTGAGTAGTCAATGCATTAGAGGCCTCTTCTCCAAGGTAGTGTCCGCGTAGGCACATCAATACTCCTGCCATTGGTAAAGGACTCATCTGAAAAGCAGGAATAATCACTCTTGGACTAACTGGCAGTATGGGATCGCTCCAGATGTTCTCCTAAAATCCCTCTGAGAGCTAGGATTCGTGATTCAGTGCCACAATTTATTGCTTTATTAACAAAGATTCTTACTCTGTGCACTTCCTAAATACTTTAAGGGGGAAAAACTGGTTTCTAAAATACGACATATCATATAATAAAATTCCATTTATTAAATAAAACAAAATACAATGCCCTAAGATATTAACTTATGTGTCACATGAGTGATTCTCACACAATCCAAAGTATGATACCATTCCCTAAAAATAACCACCCATTCTCTTAGCAACCCCAAACTATTTAATTCATCTGTAAATGGGACAGTCACAATATAATACACCAATGCTATACGTAGTTTTGAAAACTAGTGTATTAGACACAAGAAGGCAGGATTTCCAGTCTAAATTAACTCGTAAAAATGTCAGAACAAAGCAGCATAGTAAATAGTAACTATCTAAAGATAACCTTAGAAATATGATGCATCTCATATGGTGATCCTTATCTCTAAATTTCAAAGATATAAGAGATCATGTCAATTAAGATTGTATCAGTATAATGTCCAATGACCAAAAAAAAAGGCTTAGAATAAGTTCTAAATATTTTGTGTCAAAACTGAATTATCCAAGGAAGTGTGGGATAATGTGTGTGGAGATTAAACAATACACACCCAATAGCAATCTCAATCTATAACCTTATAAAGAGAGTACAATAAGAAGGGGATAATGTGTCTAGACCACTTTCAGAATTCTACCAACTTCAGATATACTCAGCAATTTCAACTCCTTGAAAGATGAGCAAGTATGATGTTAAGCACTGCCTGATGACTTTTTGTATTAACTTTTATAATTTTCATCACAAACTTGTAATGTGTTATTATTCTTCATCCTGTTTAACACATGACTAACCAAGCTATCACAAAGCCCATGTCGTTTTGACCATACAGAGTTGTCTTGACTACCTGTGAAGCATCATCACACAGCGAGATGTGGCAAACCATCCCACAGAGTTGAGGCAATTGTCCAACCATCAAATTTTAAAATAAGAATCGGAGTTGACCTCTTTGGAAAAGTTTTTTTTTTTAACTTTTTTAATGTTTATTTATTTTTTGAGAGAGAGAGCGTGAGGGAGGGAGGGGCAAAGAGAGAGGGAGACAGAGAATCCAAAGCAGGCTCCAGTCTCTCAGCTGTCAGCACAGAGTCTGACACAGGGCTGGAACTCACCAACTGCAAGATCATGACCTGAGCTGAAGTTGGACACTTAACCGATTGAGCCACCCAAGCACCCCTGGAAAAGTTTTAATTAACTACCTCTGTTTCTCAGTTCTTGGTAAAAATTTCCAATGACCGGCATAGCTATTTGAGTTAGTGCTTAGTAAACCATTAATTCAATCAGAAGGAAAAAAAAAAAAAAAGGTTGCTGGTCATTGGTCCTATGGATACATAATTTTGCATTTACTTATTTAACAGGCATGTTAAAGATGTTATATTTTATATTTTTCCATACACATCATTGAGTGCATACATATATCAAATACCGTGTTCCGTTCCATAAAGCATACAAGGAGATCCCTATACCTAGTTGGTACTCTTTCAATCATATTTTTCAATTTACTATTTGCACATTGAGATTTATTTAGTGTCTTCTAGAAGACAGAATTTTGTTCATCTCTTCTCTGGTATTAAATGCTTCCTTAAAATATATATCTATATATTTATCATGTTATATCATTTTTAAGGTATTGGAATAAAGAGGATCTATGTGATTTACACATACACACATACATACACACACTCGTATATTTCTAAAAATGAAAGAGAATGATGGGTGTTCAAAAAAGTCACATTTTCTATAGCTATTTTATTAGGCACAGTTAAAAGTACAGTAAATAAAATACTTACTCATCAATTTGACAAACACACATCTCCACCTCTTTCAGTGCAGTCTGAAGTTTGCCCAACAGTTTCTGATAAATATCTTGAGTTTCTAGGTCTTCCTCTTTTAACAAATATCGGAGCCCATGTCCATCCTGCTGTCCCAGAGACAGACCTGAAGGGGCTGCCATTGTTGTGATTGTGTGTTGAATGTACACCATAGGGCTCAGTTTCCCTGAGGAGTTAACATTATTGCAGAACAATATTTATGACCTTTGACTTACAGTAACGATCCAATGCAATTCATTCTAGACACCCAAGCTAACATAAAATAAAATGCCAATCCGATGGTGAATTTAATTCAGGAATTAAAGCTTCTGGGAGTTGTGATTAAAATATGATTCGATCTCATACCCCATTGTGATGGTGTGGAGTGGCCCTGGGCTGAAGCAGCTCCTCCTGTATTTTTCTCACAGTTATGGGGCCACTTCAGACTCGTCGTTTTCACAGCAGGATAAGCTGTGTCTATCATACATGTGAGGAAGGCAAGAACAACCACTCTTCTTAGAGAAAAAATAATAAAAATGAATAACTCCATTTTCATTTGATAAATGCTTATGTACAATTATCCAAATGAAAATAGGGAGGATTCCTGTCTTTATAAAATTCAGACTTGTTTGCACACAGAGGAATCTATCATATTTCAGGGATGCTGGAATAGTTAATAATTGCCTAAAGTACTTTTCATGATTTAAGAAAATCTCAAAAGCTAACATACCTTGCTCAGATTTATTTTCTTTATCAAGAGAATTATGCTTCCTACTATCCAGCTGAACACCAAATGCACTCCCCAGAGAGGTTGATGTTTTGGGATAGGAAACTTCCATTATGTTGACATGGCAGTTGGTAGGGCAGAAATCACTGCTGTGTAATGGGGAAATTTTAGATTTGGCCTGTTTAAAGGTGGGCCAGGCTCTATTCTTCAGTACCCGTGAAAACTGTAAATTAAAGAATAAATAAAAAGCAGTTGAACACACAGCAACAACGCAAACACTTCACTTCCATCATATGTAACAAAATATTAAAAAATTAAATCATGTCAAGTGGAATAAGTGAAACAAATTTTACGTTGTTGGAAACGAAGTCATTATTTTAAAACCCGCACATTCATAATAAAGCAAAGCAATATTGGCAACAAATGCATAGGATTCTTTTGAAACTCTGATTACAAGTTAGATGCTAGGAGAGTTTTTTTTTTTTTAAGTTTATTTATTTATTTAGAGAGAGACAGAGACAGTGTGAGCAGGGAAGGGGCAGAGAGAGAATCCCAAGCAGGCTCCACACCATCAACACAGAGCCCAATGTGGGGCTCAAACTCATGAAACTGTGAGATCATGACCTGAGCTGAAACCAAGAGTCAGAAGCTTCACTGACTGAGCCACCCAGGTGCCCCTAAAAGAAATGAATTTTAAGTGACCAATCCCACTTACTAGGAGTCAGATCCACAGACTGCTAGCAGCTGAGAATCTGACAGAGAAATCATATTGGAATCCAAGGATATGCAGATAGGAACACAAAATTTAAAGTGAGGCAAAGCGGCAGAAGAGGACAGCTGTCAGGTGAAGAGTGGATTATTCCAAACATTGTCAGAAAGCCAGTCCAAACCTGAGTCTCAGAACAGGTGAGACAGCAGGTGTGGTGGTGTTGACCCAGAAGGTCGGGACAACAGGCAGAAACAACTATACTTCCCATATCTCCTGCTAAGAACTGCTGAGCACCTGGGTCAGGATCAGCCTGAAGACTGGTGTGGACTCTGCTTTTATGCCACTGAATAAAGTGACACTCAAGGGATCTGCATGACCTCCAAGAACTGCCACTCCATAACTTCGAACCTTGTAATTCAAATCCATCTAATTCTTGCCATGGTCTATACAGCCACCCAAAGTCTGATCTGCACCTAGGTTATCATCTCAAGCTCTCCTCCCCTTGCTCCCTGGGCTCCTTGTTGCCTTCACCCAGGCCTTCTTACATACCATCTACTCATTCTAGGTCTTTGTACAGACTGTTCGGAGTGCTGTGCCCAGAGTGTTCTTCTTCCTTCATTGCCAAACTTACTTCTATGCATTTTCAAGTTCTATGAAATCAGCAGGCCTACCATGAGCCTTCATCTAGGTCCAACTTCCTTGGCTAGGTTATAGCACATTCTAACCCTCCTTACAATTATGAATAATCTTCTTATCTCTATCTCAGTGGGTGGTAAATTCTATGAGGGTTATACCTATGTCTGTCTTGTGCACCTCATGGACTTGAAATGGATTATACTTTCAAAATCAAAGGACCGAAAGCCACCGGTTATGTATGTTTTAGTTACACTTAGGTTATTTATAACTTATGTGATGGTGGGCAAGTCACTGTCCTTTTACCATTCCTAGTAAAATAAAGAATATGGATAAAATAATCTCTGTGCTCTCTTCTTGCTTGAAAACAATAAGCAGATCCTATTTATTTATACTACTAGTGAGTAGTAATTTGGGCACTGAAAGATTAAAAATTAAGACTAACACTGGTTACCATGCAACTTTTCTAGGTTAAATTAAAAAATAAAGACATAATACCAAAAATCACAACTTACAAGCTCATCATCAGAATATGAACTATTTTATCTGCATATTAAACTGTGCTTTCCAATCACATCTGAAGCTATGTAGCTCAGCAAAGTATAAGCACACAGTAGCAATTAAAATGGAAGTGGACTGAAATGCAGAAAACTGCCAACAAAATTAGTAACAAATTTGATAATAATGGTATAGTGATAATATCCTAACCACTAAAAGAGTGGAAGTAATTTAGAGAATTAATGTTCTATCCCCTCACTTTACTAATAAAAAACTGTGACCTGAAGACTTATCTGGGAAAGACCTCAAATTGGGAAAGACGCAAACTTGGAGTGAGAAGGTCTTTTCTGTTGCAGTCGCGGGATAAGGCCCCACAGTACACACAAAGGCACAGAAATCAATTTTATCGTGGCACAGCATCGACCATAATAGATAGATATGCTTCTTTTGCCTTCTTTCACTCTAACCTTTTACCTACTTATTGAAAAATATAAAGAGAAGCATCTATTCCAGACTCGCACTAAATGCTGGAGACACAGCCCTTGCCCTCATGGAGTTCATGGTCTAGTAGGGGACACAGGTGAAAATAATATAATATTCTTATATGTAACATATTATTACAAGTATATGTAATGTACATGTATAAATATATGTACAACTATATGCATCTATAACAATTATATAATAAATATGATAGCCAGGACAATTAGAAATTTGGTAAGTGCTAGGAAGTAAGTGAACAGAGCGATGGGCTGTGGTGTTACTAGAGCAATCAGGTAGACAAGGGGGAATGCTGCCTTTCTAGTGCAACCAGTTTCCTGTAACTTTGCAACATGCACCGCAGTACAAACACCCATGGACACAGTCTGTTTCTTCTCCCCATACACTCAGGAGGGGTGTGCAACCATGCCCAAATGGCTGGAACTCTTTCAAAGAGTGTCAGAGAGGAAACTTCTTTGCTTAAGGGCTCTCTCAGAGAAGAAAGAGGCTTATGAAAGCAGTGCTGTCTTCCATCCAAGGGTGTCCCTAGGCAAGGGGGAGGTGCAGGAGGCACCCCACAGTCATGGGTCCTAGAAATGTGCTAAATACATCAAAAATGTACTCCTAGAGGGCATGCCCTAATATTTAATCGTGACACCTTCCTGTAACACACCTAAAGTGAGGAAGGCACAGTTCCTGTGACTGTAGAACACACACGGGAATGTGTTCTAGCCTGGCCACACGGTGGTAAGTGGCCCTGCCAACATGAACCTGGCGTCTTGTTTGGAAACATCAAAAAGAACACTGAACTCGTTAATCTGCTTTGGAGAAGTGCACAAGGAAAGACAAAAAAAAAAAGCGCTATTTTCCATAAACAAAAATTGCAATTTTGCAATAAAGAAATGTACAGGGTTTAGGGGAAGGTGAGCTGGGATGGACAGCATTTTAGGCCTCTCATGGATAGCGTAGCCCACTTATCCCCACCTTTATTCATCCATCCAACAATTACACATCGAGGACTTTCTAAATCAGGCTCCATTCTAGGCAAGTTGGGAAACATCAGTGAATGAAACAGATTTCTGCCTTCTGGGAGGTTATGTTCTAGTGAAGGGAGAGGCCAACAATAAACATAACAAGTCAATTACACCATTATAGAACATGATAAGTATAGCTGAAAACAAAATGGAGCTGGGAAAGAGGGTTGGGAATTTCAGAGGTGAGGTGAAGAATGCCCTGCCAATTGTAATCTGGGTGGTCAGGGCAGGCCTCAGTGAGAATCTGGCATTTAAGCAAAATTTTGAAGGAAGGAAGTTAGGAATGTGGGTATTAGGAAGAGAAGGCTGCCTGGCAGGGTGAACATTCAATGCAGAAGCCCCAAGGAAAGTGTGTTCCATCTCAGGAAGACTGGTGTGGTCAAAGCACACAGTGAAAGGGGAAGGGAAAGTTGACAGACAGGAATGGGGAGATCACTGGTAGAAGGAGGGCACAGCTCAAACAGGAGCTCACAGGCCTTTGGAAAGATTTAGTTCTTACTGTGATTGAGATCCACAGCCCCTCAGAACAAACACACCGTCAGTGGGCAAGGGTGGAAGCAGGAAGACCACTCTTGGGAGAGTCAACATTGGCTCACCCTAGGCTGTCAGCAATCACAGCGGTGAGAAAAGGCTGCATGTGGTGACGGTAGAGCCAAGAGAATGGTATGTGAGAACGAGGAGTAAAGAATGTATGCGAGGTTTTAAGACTGAGCAATGCGGGAGGATGGGTCTCATTCTGAGGTGGAGAAAACAGCAAATATGACAAACTGGAGGGGCAGGACCAGGACTGTATTCTGGACATGTGAAGTCTGAGGTATCTGTTAGACTCAAATGGAGAGGTCAGACGGCAAGACTGAATGTGATCACTGGGGGATGGAGGGAGAGAGAGAGAGAGAGAGAGAGAGAGAGAGAGAGTGGGGGAACAAATCCCAAGTTCTGCAGCATGAAGAGATCAGAGGAAAAAGGATGAACAAACATGGGACACTCACTGTGACTGAGCCACCCAGAAAAGACAAAACCAGATACACAGTCAGCTGCATTGATGCTACTAAAACAAGGAATAAGATGATGACAGTAAATGAACTTTGGCAAAATCAAATCATCATCAATCAATGACCTTAAAAACAGCCATTTCAGGGGCACCTGGGTGGCTCAGTCAGTTGAGCATCTGACTCTTGATTTAGGCTCAGGTCATGGTCCCAGGATCGTGGAATCAAGCCCTGTGTCAGGCTCCATACTGGGCATGGAGCCTGCTTGAAATTCTTTCTCTCTCTCTTTCTCTCTCTCTCTCTCTCTCTCTCTCTCTCTCTCTCTCTCTCTCTCCCTCAGCGTCTCTCCCACTTGGGTGCTCTCTCTTTCTTAAAAAAAAAAAAGAGCCACTTTAGTTACATGGAGGGTACTTGAGCCCATCTTGAGTGTGTTGAGAATGTCAAGCGAGTGAGACAACAGGTATATACAGCAAGTATAGGTAGTTGTTTTACAGGACAGAGTTCAAGAAATGAAACAGTAGGTAGAGAAAAGTCTGGGGGTCAAGGGAAATATTGACTTTTTAAATCTAGATGATATTAAAGTGTATTTGTATATTGATAAGAATAATTCTTGGAAGTGGAACTTCAGGTTTCTAATGCACTGGTAGTTAATTCACGAATTATTAACCGTGACAATACATTAAAATCCAATTATACTTACTTGACAAAAAGTGAAAAAACATATAAAGGTAGGCTACTATTTTGAAGATAATCTCCCATTTCAATTAAGTGTAAAACTCTATTGGCATAGTTATAAAAATTCTGTATCAGAGGAAGGGGACATGAGGAAGTTTTTACCACAAATTTTCCAGACCCATATATCAATCAGTTTGAGGATTTT